GCGGCAGAAGGTATAAGTCTAGCAACTACGACACGACTCAGGATGCGAAAGTACGATGAAAAACACTTAAGGATCTCAGGCCGCCTTCTTCTCCTTCTTGCCCGGCTTGTCCAAAAAGTCCTGAGTTGTGTTCGGTGGAAGTCCGAACAGCAGCGGCTGGGAGATTATGCGCTTGTTGGACACAGCAAGTAGCTTTACCGACTCTTGGATGGACCAAGGCTGCACAGACAAGGTAGATCCACTGCTGCGCTCCGCAGGCGTGAATGTTCCCGAATGAAAGGCTCACGACCCAAAACCCAGTCGCTGCCAAATATCCTGCGGTCGCATCCAGGAATCGCCAAAATCCTGCCGAGCACCATGCCGAATGGAATGTGGGCCAAAGCCGATGATAGAACCTCCAGAGCCCAAGCAGAGTTCACATGCCTGTTAATGACCTCAGTCGGACCCGGAAAACACTCATGCCAGGAGAGGTCGGCCCAGCGCACGCGGCTCAACTCGCACCTCATGCCCTGCAAAGAACCAGGGCTGAACAAACATAGAGCTTAATACGAAGAAGCTGGATCATGATGGTCACCAGTTTCTAACGCCAAAAGCTCCCGCATCTCCTGCTTCTGTCTCTTCAAGGGCTCCCGGCCGTCCATTGCCTGTCTCAGGTTCGATATTTGTGGTGTGGTGCTGCTTGGAAACAGGGCTTGGTAGAGTTTGAAGCGTCGCCTTAGTAATGCCTTGAGAAGTCGAAGCTGCAGAGGTCAATTGCGCTACGCGGAGGGGCTAAGGATGCACAAGCTGGGATGAGTTAGGTTCGGTCTGGCGCCGAGTGTGGCACGTCTCCCCACGCCCAGCCGTATCTGCAGAGTCTTTGTGACTAAGTACAGTTGGCCTGGCTTGGGCTGTGTGCATGGGACCACTCGGGTTGCAGGTTGTCTGACTGGCTTTGGTGTTTGGGCTTGGGACTCAAGGGGCCGCTGGCTCTAGACTCGAGAGTCTCAGGCATTCGGCTGCGGCTCGGTCCTTTGACTCTCCAAACCCGTGCCTGCCATGACCCGTCCAGGCTCATCTCCTCAGGTCTGGAGTCGACTTGGATCTGTGAGGCCTCAAGTTTGTGGGGTTCATCGTCTCTCTCAAAGTGTGGAAGTCGGGTAGAGCCATGTTTGACGGTGTTCTGATCTTCGGCCTGTTTGCAATTCCGAATATCAATAGGATACACGCGCGCAGCAGCCAACAGCTCGTGCCAAGCATCACAAAAATCTAAAAGATTCATGGATGCACAGCTTAGTGCGACAAAACAGAACTAGGAAATCATGAAGACCATTTACTCCTGCAGCTTAGCGGCCCGACCGCGCTTGTTCTGCAGTTGTCCGTCCCAGTCGTTCCATCGCTGGTTGTTCCACGAGTCGCCCTGCGGGCTCTGGGCCTGCAAGAGCTTGCTTTTCCCCTACAAACACTACAAGCCAGACGAGGTTGGGGTTATGGTTTCAGCTATGGCATGTCAAATTATACACCGTGACATCTTTCATTGTGGTACCGTATCTTACTGGGCTCTCGCTGGGCGCGGCAATCACCTCGCTATAGAACTTTCACAGGTCTCCAGGCCGACGAGCCTGGCCCCAGTCACCTCAGCTGACAATAAGATTCGGGTTAGAACGTGACATTCTGGGGCATGAGTCTTCAAGCAAGTATCTTCTCTGTGCTCATGGTACCAAACATTCATTGCCATCAATATAAAAATGTGGACGGATGAAAGTTGGAGTAGGAGATCCAATTTTTGGAGTGCACTTTATCATCGAAGCATGCTCGCTAACAAAATACTACTAGTCGCAGGAACTTGAGGAGCAATATCAGTGTGCGGGATGACGCGCGCAATCAGGAAGATACTCAACTGGCCCCATAAACGTGGCCAGAATTCGAAGCTGCCGAAGCTTTCAATTTAAGGCACCAGTCTAGGACCAAGACCAAGGCTTTCAATGAACCTGCACGGCAGCCTCGAAGATCCAAAGACAAATTGCAAACACCATAGGTGGAGCATCTCGAGCCTTGAAGCTTATTTTTGAAGCCCCATCCAACAAGCTTGGCTCAAGCTCGGGCCAGGCAGCCTGCAGCTGGCGCTGCCTCCTGGGGAAAGGCCTGTGGAAGTGGCAGGGAACTTCTGCCATCAGCAGGTAGGGTCACAGGGCCGTGCGGCTTAGGGACAACATGCCCAAAGCGTGAGCACGCTTACAACATGAGTGAGCTGACAACTGTCAAAGCAATGAATGCAAGTTATTATGTAGGAGAAAGCCATTGCTTCTATAACACTGAATCAAACAGTGGATACTTGCTCCTGGACAGTCAAGATTGTCAAAACAACGGTTCCTCACCCTCGTGCCCAATGTCGGAACATGTTCCAAGCAAGCTGGCTTGAGCTAGGTGTCATGATTTCGGAGGTGGCTTTGGTTAGACAGTCTCTGAGCAAAGATCGGTAGGAAGCAATTGCCCTGTGGTTCGAGAAGATGCCGCACAGGACTTGAGGCCTTGTGCAAACTTCAGTATAGGGGCTTTGCCGACAGTGTCATCGTAGATTGCACATCAGGCTAACTTTCAAAATCTGAGAAGCTACTGCTGCGGCAAAGAGGGTCTGATGCAACCGCAACTTTCGACTCTTGCCGTCCGAGACTCATCACCCGCTTGCCACGACTTGGACCTGAACGAATGGTTCCACAGCACACTCACTTAAATTTGCCTGGGATTGCGGACCGTGTCAGAACATGTGTGTCAAGCACCCGGGTTTAGTTTGCAGTGCTAGCTGCGAGGGATTGCATCGTGATGTGTGTGGCGAACGTGCGCGCTGTAATTAACGTCAACATGCTGAGGCGTTACCAAGATGAACCAGCCTGGGCATCGAGTTCCACCATTCCTCCTGGTTGTTGCTCCTTGGTATGCGAGAAACTCAATGTAGGTGCAATCGACAGGTCGATGTCTGGTTCAGCAGGCTAAAGGCGAAGCTGTTCTTCTTCAAGGCCTGTCATATGTTCCCTTATCGTCGTCGTCAAAGCTGGACCGAAGCAGGAACAAGCACCGCCACTACCACCGCCACCGCCACGGCAACAGTAGCAGTAGCAGCAGCTGCAGCCACTGCTCGTCCGACGACGACGATGACGCCTCCTCTCCCTGCCTACAATTTCAATCCCCGGCGTGCTGTGACGATCAGAGAGAAAGGCCAGCGCAGAATGCAGCGCCAAACCCCTTGAGCTGCTATCCCATGTGACCATAACGACACTCGGGCTTTCGTTGTGCTTGCTGCTGTTGCGGCATGCAGGGACAGGAGGTCATTTGCTGAGTGGCCGAGGAGGGTTTCTGCACGGCCGATATCAATATTCGACACTCTAGGTGCTCCGCGCCCTCAACCCTGCAAGACACAAGTTCCCAGCAATTCGCCCACACTTTTTGCGGACTGCGATCGACGTCTGCGGAGAGCTGTGCAGCTGCCCACAAATCCTAGGTCTAGGCCTCAATAACAACTGCTTTGGTTGCGCTTAAGATTGCACAAAGTGGAGAAAAGGCGCAAGGATGTAGAGCTGTCCAAGCCTGCTCTACAGAAACAATGCAACCGGAGGATTTGTGGCCATTCTTTGGCGAGGCTTCCTTTATCGCTGCAGCACGAGGTCGCTGTTGCAATGCTCACCTTCATCCCAGCATAATCATCATACAATAGTAAGTAGCAACTATGTAAGCGATTTAACTTCCAGTGACCCCGTGTTGCGCGAGCAGCCGCCAAACAGGACTGAGCATGCGCCTGATGCAACCTCAATCAAAGGCGCTCACGGTAAGTGCACGCGTCCGGAAGTCCCATCAAACTTATCAGCGGTACTGTTGGCACGATCCAAATGTATATACATGTGTAAATGACATGCACAAGTACATAAAATTACATAAATAAGCAAACACCGTCTGGTTTCTAGCTATGTACACCTGCGCGGATACCGAACAAACGATCTGCTTATGTCTGTGCAAAGTGTTCGTGTGTTTTCTGCTGTCACGTCATGAGCTTCAAGCTGCTAGGACTGCTTTTTAAAGCCCAAGCAAATGGCTGTAGCCATACCAAAACTTCACACTCGCGACGCACTCAAGGATAAGGACTCTCGCTCAGCGAAGGGAGTGGCTGGTGCGGGCATCACATTAAAGTGACTCGCCCGTCTCGAACTTCGCAATTTAAAGCAATCTAGAAGCCGGGAGCGAAGCACAGAGCCCCTACTAAGGGGGCTTCTACTAGTTCTTGCACTCGTTACTCTTGCTAAAGCCGTCCTGTAGCATCATTCACAAGTTCTCTGGGACAGGAAGTGCGAGTCATGTCCCACATCAACGGCCACAGCGGTCTCGTAGTATTGTGATGTTCCGTGGGACAGGAAATGTGAGTCATGTCCCGCATCAACGGTCCCATTTCGATGCCGCGCTCAACGGGTCTTCGCAAAACGGGTGATGACGTGATACCTTCGCGGGGGTCCGGACTTTGTAGGCCACGCTGCGACGGGTTTGGGAAGTGGCTGTGGCTGTTCTTTGACCTCTTTGGGTTTGAGGGCGTAAGATTCTCATCGTAACAACTGGAGCTGAAACAGCTGCCAGTCGCGACTGTTCCGTTGGTTGCTCTTCGGCCCATCTGTTGCCTACCACCAGGAAAAGTTGGGACCATAGCAGAAATGCGGTGTTCTTCTGTCTAGAGGATATCTGATAACACTATCTTTGTACTTTTTCAACCGAAACGCTGTTGACCTTCTAGGGCGGGTTGAACACACCATCTTGACATGACACGAAACACAAAGCTCCAAACTCGGAACATGACACCCACACCCTCGATTGAGCTCGTACCGCAAGTCGCTTCGCCGAAAAGCACACGCCCTGATTTTGCAGCTCATGCACCAGCCAACAAACATCACGCCAAGTAATGTGAAAGTTATTCTCAAGGCTTCGACACACCTACAACCCCTCAGCCCTGAAGCCCCAAACCGGATCTTCCACCGTGCCACCAGGGTGTTTTTGAGCGGGGTCGAGATTCCGCCCGGAGACTGGTCCTGACGAGGTCGTCGCCTGGAAGGACGCATTCCTTCTCGCGTGGCTTTCCAATACTGTTATGGCTTCTAGTCAAGACTTAGTGTTGATGTATGGACAGGGTAAACTTAGTATGGACATAAGTCTAGCATGCATATTTGTGTTGCATGTGTTTGTATATACATGTATGAGCAGGTAGAAGACATGCATGCATTCCTGCAAATCTATCTGAAACCAAATTTCGGGATACCCTCAAGACTCCATGCCATTAGGGCAAGGTTTCGGAATGTTGGCCTATATTTGCATGTGTCAAACATCCACCAACAGACCCAGCCCACTCTGCTCCATCAGTCTCAAGGTCGACCACTCCAACATCAAGGTCCTGAAATCGAAGACTCAAGCTGAATCCGACGTGCAGAAACCCAAAACCTCCCGACGAACGATCGGTGTGTGACCCAAACTGCCTGGCAGATTCAAGCCGCAGGCACGGCCGAAGGCCAGCACTGCATTCCTCGGATGTGGCGACGGGACAAGGGGACCGAAGCAATTTCCGTAAAAAAACACCTTCGGATCCTTGTTTGTGTTCGAATAATTCTCACTGCCGAAAGTTGCGCTTGCGTCACAGAGTCGGGTGCTTCAAGTCTGAAAATTCGAGGCGCCGAAACCTTTCGAGCTGAGCTTTCAGTGCCCAAAAGCCCTATACCCTAAGCAAACCCGCGACTTCTAAGGCTATACTGGCTACACTCACCCGGGAGCAACATAGAGACCGAGGCACAGCTTGGAGTCCAACCGGCTCAGCTCCTCGGGCGACATCGTCCGAACCTTCCATGAATCTTACGTTGAGGCTTGTTGCCTTAAGCTTTGGGGGTAGTGCAGTAGGGATCTTGAATCACCGTGGCAAGTCAGTATTAAGGCAATAGTATGCTGGCTTTCGATACCGTGGATTCAAGACGCCCTGATGGTGCCTTCGGACAGGAGGAAGGTTTGGTTCAGAGGCAACTCTCCCAGCGATCGCAAATTCGAGTACCGGGTATCTTGTAGGGCGGTGTTGCACCCCCGTTTTTTTCGTGTCGGAACCGGTGCACTGCGTGCTGTTCTTGCTCAGCATAGAATCGGCCTCCAAGAAGCGCAAAATCAGGCAAAAAGTCGGGCGACCATGCTTGGTCTGCTGAGCTGCGATGTGACACGGGCCTCCAGCGACAAGCGACAGGGTCGCATGCCCCGTGCTTGGTGGACCATGTCTTTCCGTGAGAGGCGTCAAAACCCAGGTGCCGATAGCGAGCTGCATTGTGTGTCGAAACTGACCGAGCTTTGGTCGTGCGGCTCGCGCCGTGGAGTGGAGCGACCCGAATTTGAGTCGGGGTCTGTGCGGACAATGCTTTACTTTGGAACTTGGATGGTGTGCTGCTTATTGGCCCAGCTTGAAGTTCTTTCATTTGCACTCGCGATTCGGGCGGGAGTGTAGCAGCAAGGATGTCCCGACCCTGTGAGACTGACCATTCAGCGACAGCTGCTGCTTGAATCTTGCCTGTCCGCAAGGCTGGGGGAGCTGCGTCAAGGTAGGAAGACCGTCTGCAGCAAGGGTGTCGAAAAAACCCACTGACCGATTCGGTCTTTAGTCGGACTGCGAAGCTTCTCGAAGCGTATTTCAAGCTGTGCTCCGAGCAGTAGTCAGTAGTCGCTTGCGAACATGCTTGCCGATCATGGGGCATGGTATCTGGATTCAACCTTCGGGTTTTGGACCGTTGTGAACACTCCAGGTTCATATCTTCTGGGCCTCGGGTCTCCAGTGGACGAGGTAGGGTTGATGCTGCAGCTCTTCAGCATTCCTCCGGTACACCCAGGACTGGACCCTCAGATTTGGATCTTAAGCCCTCAATCCTTCCGAAATCCGAAACCCTGAGCTCCGACGAAGGCACACAACCCAGGGCACCGCAAATGCACATGGTTTTCTGCCCAAACTTTGAGAAAGGGTGAAGCTGTGCCTAGACCCGATCGATCCCTGGCTGACGAGGGCTGCAAGACGTGCCTGCCCATCTCGAGCGCTGTTTTTCGAGAGCACGAAGATGCCTGGATTCGCATGCTGTCGGTCAGGGCGATCAGAAAATAAGGCTCTAGGCCTTAGGAAGACACATCGACGACCTGTTTATAGAAAGGACGAGCTGAAGTAGACTAGACTTGGTCCTTCATCTTCGGGGCCAGTGTTGATTTTGGTTTTTGGATCGCATCTATGGAGAGGTATCGTATTTCGGGTCCTGCATCACCCAAGCCCAATCACCCCATCCGCCTTCAGTCCCGACTATTGCGGAAGCTTCAAGGTCCTGCCATGAGCTGAGGTCAATTCGGCCCTTTCTGGTCGGCTGGGGGCGACTCGCTGGTGACCCAGAAGGACCCAGAAGGCACGGTCTGCACACAAACAGGCAGCTCACCTGTGTCGTGATGTGTGGAACTTGCAGGTAGGATTTTGATCGACTAAGGATCCGAACTTCAGCTAATGTCGCCTCTGGCTTTCACATCCCTGGTCCCTGTACCCCGTCCTTCAGCACGTCAATTCCTGAGTTGAGCATCCGGCTGTTTCGAAGGAAGGGCTCAAGGTATCTAGAAGGCGCTCTTTTGGGAGGGTTGGGTCTGGCTCAACACGAACCCAACTTTGATCCGCAAAAACCCTGTTGCGCTGTCAGCATCTCTCGTGAAAGGGAAATCCATAACGTCAATACTGCCCGTTGCCAGCCTGGAGAACCGAGTGCCCTAGCCAGCGGTCCCTCAGCCTCAGTCTTCGGCAAGATTCGGACCACCACTGTCTTGTCTGCGTCTGCAGACGACAGCGGCCACAACGCGCGCGCTTTTCGAAACACCTGCGACAATCCGAGGATGCTTGAGCTGCCCTGGATTTTGGGGTGCGGGCGGGCTACTGCAGGTTATGGATTTTGGTTGTGTCTTGGTGAGTGTGGATTGGCAACTGGGACTCCGAGCGACCACGCATGCTCCAGACTGAAGCGTGACCATGTGCATCAGGTGGTTAATGTGAGCTCGTGATTGGTAATGGTCCCTCAATTGAGCTAAACTCGGCCTGCACACAATAAACGACCCCTCAATCGTCCTAAATCTTGCGAAATAGACACTGCTACTACAAACTGATGCCCTGGAAGAGGAGAGACAGAGACAGGCAAGATAGAGGAGACACAGGGAGGAGAGATAGAGAGCTAGCCAGACTTAATGCTTCTGTATAGAAACCTAGAACCTTCAGCCACTTCAGCCTTCAAGGCTTCAGCGCCAAACTCTGGTTTTGCATGGCTACCAGATCTATAGGTTTCTAACATAAACCCTGAAAAAATGCAACCCCCTCAAGTTTTCTAGGGGGTAGTATACGATAGCCTCGAAACCCACAATAGTGCAAATAGTAGTGTGTAGTGGCCTGCCGGGAGCCTCTAGACTCTAGAACACCAAACCTGGGGCAATAAGGCTTCTCGCCCAGAAGAGGCCCAGAAGAAACCCTGCCTCTACTACTGTACTGGTGTGCGATGACTGTACCAGCGAAGACAAAACAACTTAGACTGACTTGGACCCCGACCTCCCCAAGCTACTATCCAGAGGCGAAAAAAAACGACCCCGGCCACTATTCCGGATTTCGGATGGTCAGGTGGTGGTTATTCATCAGGAGCAAACATTCAACAACACCCAGATACATGCTCACGAGTTCTTCGAGACAATCTCCTGAGGAATCTCCTGGAATCTGTTGAAATTTTAGCCTGACATTTGCTTGGCCCCGACAACACGCCATGATAAATGGATCCCAGCACTTCTCGTGCTATTGGCCTCTGCGAGGATGTGCATGGCTTGAAATGGAGCTGTTCGGCCAGCTTTCTGCATAAGCGCTGGGGCGTAGTACCTGAGATGCAGCACACTCACGTCTGTTTTGGGCGCAAGACCTTCTGGTTGGAACCCCAAAACATCCATCGCCAGAGCCGTTCACCCCAAACTGCCCACTAGTCCTTGTGTGAGTCTACCGGGACTTGGCAAGGCAAACCAACATCAGGTGCCAAATGCGCTCAGGCAGGAAAAACCAGCCACCATAGGCAGTGAATATCCGCCTGGTTTGGGCACCATAAGGGCTCAAGCTTCGAGAGCTGATCCAAGACTGCAGCCCAGCTCCGCAACCACCATCCCACAAAAAGGCTGAACTCGATCCAGCCCGCGGCACATCTTACATCAAAGGCATCCACAAAACCAAACTTCGAGCTCCTGAAGCTGAGACTGTGCGGACTTCCTAACCGCCGAAGCTTACCCCAAGCCCTTCTCACAGCGGGCTTTGAAAGGCAGTCGCAATCCCAAGCGATTCATGTCAAACCGGACAGCTGTCCAAGCTTCAAAAACGAGAGCCGGGAGGCAGTAAAAGCGCAGGGCCTCTGGACTCCATGGTGCTCTCCATGCGGAACTTCTGAGATGTACAGCCTGGATCAGGTTGTTTACCTAAGAGCTTCGAAAGCGTTTGGATTAGGATTTTTGGGCCGCATGATGTCTCAGGCATACACGCGATACACATTGACATTGACTGAGGTTTAAAGGGCTGTAAAGGGGAAGTTCTGTGCCTTGTGGGATCTCGGCCCGGGAAAGCTGTCGGAAAGGACTTGAGAGCTTTCCTTGCCTGCGCATACAACCTCAGAAGTGGTATGGATTCAGCATGGATGAAGCGCCCTCAGTTTTGAATTAAACAAGTGTCGACGAGTTCAGCAAGTTGGGGTTTCGGACTTGCCTTCAGGCCGGAAAAGCCGTGAGAAATCCAGACCGTGGCGACAACATTCAGTAACTGAAGGATTTATGACTACTCTTGCTCGCCACCCTGTTCATCATGAGAATGTCTGTACAAGATGTCAGTCAGGAACACCAGATGTGCGTACAATGCCGTGCCTGTGAGAGCCAGCTCGGAGCTCAAGACCGTCAGGTCCGATGGGCTCAGTCGATGAAACCTCGGCTTCGCTTTGACTGGGAGTTTGGGACTCTGTGGTTTGGATCTACGTGCTTTCTTGATAATATGACGAAGATCCTTTCACGGCGTTCGTCGAGGCTTTAGGGAACTCTTCTCATGAGCAAGCTAACTTTAAAGAGCCTCTGACTATGCGCTGCTAGCGTCTTTAGAGCAGTCCAGGCGGCTTTGACTCTTGCAAGTACATGCACCCTGGGACAACGCTTGAAAGCGGGGAACGCAGGAACTTAGCCTGAGCTTTGAACTCAACGCTTGACCAGCAAACCTAAAACCCCAAATCCAAACCGGAATCCACAAGACTCCACCACGCGGACTGTCGTGTCCTCTGCATGCCAGAGCACTGCTTCACGACTTCCTGGGCCAATGTTGCTCTGTTCATGCTTTCCAACATGACCAAGAGAAATATTATGATATTGCTGGCCATGATAATGACGATGCAAATGGTATTGACGACGATGCTGCGCAGCCGAAAGAGATGACAATGGCGGCAGTGAGGCTGAGCAAGAATACGATTACGATGACCGGGATGACGATTACCATGATGATGTTGATCAGGGTGATGTTGATGCTGGTAGGCGTGATGACTCAGATTGTGGGGGTAGTTGCAGTAACGGGCTGTTTGACCATGAAGTTAACACGGCTCACTGAACAGGTGGTGGCTGCGAGCATGGCAAACACAATACTGATGCTTCAATGATTGAAGCAATGGAGATGCTGAGAATGATGTTGGTGGTGAGGACAACCACGATGATCAACGTGATGATCATATCGGAGGAGAAGGTGATTATGCTGACGTAGATGCTCAGCCGAACGTAACGACGATGGTAGTGCGGCGCAGCTGAAGACAATTATTACTCGACAGGGATGATGATCATGACAATGACGGGCACTGTGTGGCGTTGCTGGCGGTGATGAACCAGACTATGGTGGCGGTTGTGGTGACGGTGACTTCAAAATGGGGATGCGACAGCGACTACGGAAACCAACAATGATATGTTTAAGCTGACGGAGATCGCGATGACGATGCTGATGGTCGTGATGCTGATGATGCTGATGACGGCGATGGCAGTAGTCATGTTGATGATGATCATGATGAAGACGGCGTGGTGGCAAGGACAGCACGAGAAAAATGGTTATAGTTGTCGCTGCTGCTGTAGCAGTTGGTGCTGTTGCCTTGCTATTTGTCCATTGTCGTTAAGGCTGTCGCTGGCTGCTGGCGTTGGTCATTGGCTTTGCCCTCTTCGCAGTTGTCCTTCATATTCCTTGTCGTCTCCTCTGCATGGTTTGCGAGTAGCAGCTTGTTCAAGTGGTCCCGTGGCGGTGCAATGGGTGCATACACATACTCATTCTATTTCGCTGCAAATGCCAGTCATCACAGACTTAAGTGTTCGTGTGCTCTAATTGCACGATTACAGCGAAACACTTCCCGGCCTGAGCACACCCCGTAAAAGCTGCCAGAAGCGGACGAGCCAAGAAACTGCACTGTCTCCTTGGGCCATCATGGCCAGGCGAATCTGCGCGACTGCCCCGGTTCCTTCGGAGGAAGGTCGGTTCGGAGGAACAGGTCGGGCTCTTTTGCGTTGAAAAACTGTTCGGAAATTGGATGATAAGAGTGGCTTCTGGTCATGCATCTGAACATACCGATAAGCGGCAAACCATGATCATCGTGCTTATCGTTGTTGGTATTGTTGCTGTTGCTGTTGTTTGCAGGTGCTGCGAAATGATGATGGGGATCAGGGTCATAGTGTTGATGACGGCGATCAAGTTGAAGCAAAACGGCACGATGACAATTGCGATAACGGCCGCTTGCGAATTGGCAGCCTGATCCGACGGAGTAGTTGCATCCCTGCAAAGCCCTCGGCTCTCCTGTTGGAGCAGCACCCGAGAGGCCCAACTGCGACCAACGCCAAAGAAGGTAGTCCTCATAGACCTGCCCCAAGAAAAGCAACACGCTTTTCCGGAATGGGTTTGGTTTTTGAGAAGCTCGGGTAGTCGAAGCCCCAAGGAAAGCGGAGCCTTTTATTCCATAAGGTCAGATCCGAGTGACCATATCCTGACAAGAACATGCCACTTCTTGCGCCTCAGTCTCCGTCTTCGGCCCAAGTTGCCAAACGACCGGGAAAGAGTTCAGAAAGTTTCCGAGCACCTGGTTGAGGTGGTTGCTAACTACTCTGCCATTGTATACAGCACATGACATCATGAATCTGCTTAAAGCTTGTGGCATCAAGGGCAAACGGGGCGTGCACTTCGAAAACAACCGAAAACCCCAGGTAACTAGTGGCTGGGTCTAGCTTCTTTCGATTTGCTCCCTGAACACGACCCCTCTCACGACAAGCTCAACAATCCAGAAGCAGCCAACAAGCAAGCAACAGCGAGTATAGCTACGGTTATGTGTCCCTTGGCGATCACGTCTCGCACTCTAGGCCCCAGGCGTGCTGCGGGAACTTTAGAACGAACTTCTCACCTTGGCTGGTTCCTGGTTCTCACAACTTCCAAATGCAAGGACCGCATCCACCACACCTGACCCAGTTTTTTCTTTACTTCATGATCATTTTTATTATTGAATTTTTTGAATTGCAAAGCTGGTGCCTGGCAGAAGCTATTCCATGCATGGTGCGCTGATCCTCTTCAAATCCCTTTCTCCTGCAGTTAAACAGATGCTAAATGGGGCTTGGGGGCTTCGATGCGGTTGCTTTCCAAGAACTGCGGCTGAGCCCATGAGCATGCAGGCTACTTTGATTTTCGGTCTGGAGCAGCAGCTTGGTCGCCCTTCCTGAAGCTACAATTTGCGCTTGCGCACGCGGGTCTGGCAAGAAAAATGCTAAGAAACCGAAAAGCAAGCTCATGAGCAGTTGTGGGTATCTGCGGCTCATAACAAAAAGCCGTGCTGCGAAACACCACCATTTGCGCGCCGCTGGGCGTGTTTGCAATTCATGTTCGCTGCAACCACTTGCGGTGCGGTTCACTTCATCTTCGCAACAGCTCTCGGAAAGGATTCCCACCACCAAGTCAAGGTCTCATCATTACAGATCGTACTTAGCGTGTTTCCGCAGTCGACAAGCCTTGCGAAAAAAAACACGATTGGACACAAAATTGTACCTTTCGAGGGCCTGGGGTCTGCTGGGCTCTCCGAGCTCAATCTTTTGTTGCAGCCGCAGTGAAAACGCTCCTTCAGATTCAGATGCCCACGACAAGACTGCAACATACCCAGTCGACGGCACCGAACTTCACCTGAAACCCCAAAATAACATTGAGCTGTGATTGGATTTAGCTGTCTGATTGTCATTTTTCAATTCGAGGTCCTCTCGAATCACTCGGTTTTACCCTCAAGGCATCGCAATCCCCAGCCCAGCTTCTACCGAACCAGATCGCCAAAGAGACCGAGTCTGGGTAATTGTGGAAGGCTCCGCCCATCGGGTGGCCAGCCCGTAGCAATCATCCCGATGCGCCGCAGAAACAACTGAAACAACTCCCCGCCTAAAAACATGAAAATCACGCCTGCCTTTGAGAAGCCGGGCTGCAGCCCTGCATGGGGGAAGCTTCAGCACCCGCCAAATCGGCGAACCAGTGACAAAAGTAGAAAGCCTCGGAATACCGCCAAGGCTAAGTCTGGTACTCCAGCGCATTCGACCACAAACGAGCATTGGTCCGAGATCTACATCCTTGTGCAGGTTCTGGGCTCCACAAGTGAGAGCGTACTTGGACAACACATACCGGCACTGTCATCTCTTGTTCCCTAACTCTTCACGGACGAAGCCCTGCAAAGAACATCATTTCTACAAGCAAACTTCTGCCGGGATGCTATGTCTGAAGCCGCCTGACAGACCCATCTGCTTGTCGTCATGTTGCTCCGTTTCGATGAGTCAGGTGGGAGCTCTACAACAGCTGACAATGCCTTTTTGACAAAAAGCTCGCAAAAAAAAGGACGCCCTGTCTGCAAGTGATCAACAGCCGTTGCTGTACTGTAGAACACACTCTGCCACAGTGACTCTTACTAGACTCCTCGCATGGAAACCTATGCTCCTTCAACCATAGCAGCAGCAGCAGCTGAACTGCAGCATCATAAACACACACAGGCAAACATAAACACACACGCACGCACACACAAGCAGCCACCCACAGCAGGGCAAGGATACACACATGAAGAATGCAACGTGTGTGTTTGTGTATGTGCACACACCACCCACACACACACAGACATACACACGTGCAGATACATGTTCCCCACATAAGTCAAAAGTTGTCACACGGTTTATAAGCACGAACATGATTCATGCCAGGCCCGTCCTGAGAGCCTTTGGCCTCGCCGGAGAGGACCACCTGGTTACGCTGATCAGTACTTGTGCTACGTTACGGGCGGTGTTCAAGGCGTCATTGTCTGCGCAAGTGGCAGTCTCACGTCGTCGACTCGCAAGCAAAGACTTTGCTTTCCCCGCACAGTCCCAGGAAACCCTGCACCTCGCGGAACGAGCTGAACAAAGCGCCCGGGGGTGCTTCCGCCTGCGAAGGCGTTCGACACCCTGCATGAGGATACCCATTCAGACAGTATTTTGCTGCCATGGAGTTGCAGAAGACAGCTGTCGTGCCCTAGACATGCTCCGGCGGACCCTGTCAAGGGTATGTACACATCGAAGCAATGGGACTTTGCCTGGACCAGCCAGCCCATGTTGTACTCGAGCTTGCCTAGGTGCTCTCAAAGTCTACAACGTGGCTTACTGACTGCAAGCGTTGCTTCTCAGGAGCCTTTGACAAACCCCAAGAGCTGCAAATAAAAACCCACACACACACACACACAGATATACACAGGGCCTGTCCTGATTGTAGGTTGCCTTGCCCAGTGTCTGGCTGTCCAACAAACCCTGCACGTGGAAAACTCCACAAATCTCAGTCGAAAGACCCCCCAAACATCCCCACACCCCAAAAGCAGCCACTGCAAGGACGCGGAGGGCCCGAATTGCCACCCCGGCTGCAATGTGCGAACTTGATGGAGGACTGCTGCTCATGGCTTAAACCTGCAGGCGGCAGGCATTTCCAAGCTCGGCTACTAGGTTTTCCTGCCAAGGTTTGGAAATGGTTTGAGGCTAGGATTTCGGGTCAGGGCGACAAGACGAGCTACGGCAGAAATCATGGTTAGGCAGTGTGCCAGCATACAAGACGGCTCTTGGCAGGACGCATCGCAAGAAAACCTCTGCAGGGGCGGGCCCTGCATGACCCGACCTGATCCAACTCATCGCAATGCATACAAGTCGAGCTTGGAGAGAGGCTCCAAACTCTTTATTTGCCCTCGTCTCCCTCCCACCGCATGGCAAGTTTCAGTGAGCCTGCGAAGGACGGCAGGGCCTTGGGATATCCTGGGACGCATGCACAAGTCTTCGGGACTTCTTCGGGGGATGGTGCAGCAGCTGCAACGTTGTCGGTGTCTTGCTTCGAAAGTTCAATCTTGCTCACTGCGCAGGCTGTCGCAGCCGAAGGAAACGTGGAGTCGTCGACGGTCAAGACCCTTGCATGTAAGACACGAAGTATCAACACCTCCGTTGGCTTGAGCCGATGCTTCCTCTCAAGCCGAGGCACGCTCCAAAACGTAGCTTAGCGCTACGTCGTGATCGCCTTGGATTCGAGGTTTCGGTGTTCAGGTTTGGGGTCAGTGCTCAGGGTTGAGGTCTAGGAGTTGCTGGATGTATGCGAGTCGTCGTCCAGAATGGGGGCACCTCTCCGAATGCACTTTCTACGGCAGCATCGCACAGAGCGCGACAAAGGAACCACATAAAGCAACTTGAGATGAAACTCGCTTGAATTTCTGCGAGGTCTCATGCTAATCCTCTGAAGCCTTTGCAACACCAAAACCGTCCAAAGGAAAGGGCTCAGGAACCTTCGTGAGGATTCTGCATTCTGCATCTCCATTATCATTTCGGAACCTTCAATCTTTCTACACCCCGCATCTGCATTCTGATCTGCAATCTTCATTTTCCTGAAGCCTCTATAATTCTAGAAACCTTATACAACCCCTCAATAGACCCCAATAGACCCAGCTTCCCGAAATCTCGAAGCCTCCCTAAACCCTAAACCCCATCTGGTTGGGCCGAGCAACTTATCGGATCCCCAGCTTCGTAGCCCCGGAAATCCTCGGTGGCGATCGGCCTGCAAACGGAGCGTCGGATTTGGGGCTGACAGGAACACATGACGCTCTATTTTTGTGATTCCTTCGAACTTTTTAAAATAGAGGCTTGAGTGAAGATTTGAATGTTCTGGGGTCGCAGCATGCCTCCATAGGAGCTCCGTGCAAACGCAAATGAAGTTGTTCGCGCATACTCATGGCAGTCGTTTTGCATAGGGTAACCACACAGCAGTGTCTGCACGCATCGTGCATGTGTGCGTAAACAATGACATGCAGATACACTGTACTGGGAGCAGTTATGAATTCAGATCCATCTTGGTATGCTCCAGAAGGAGCAGACAAAACTTGCTGCTTCCAAACCAATCCGAACAGGGTGCGAACTCTTGCTTCCTAAAGGATGACTCATGAAGCTGGCATGAACCAGACTCGTGATGCCGCAATGATGAACCACACAACCGTTCCCAAGTTTCTCCAGAACCCCACCGATGCTACGCCCTGGAGCTTGCTTGTGCCTCAGCAGATCCAGCTTCATGATGTCGTGAATGGACATCAGAACCAACATCGTCAAAGCTCTGTCCTTGTTGGGAGACAACAGACAGTTGCCTTCTTCTCAGCACTCAATAACTCACGCCGCACAGCCGAGTTGTCTTCCAGAGAGTCCAAGTCTGGGCAAGGTCCCTTGAGCTGTCATCATTTTGCTGAGCCAGGTGCCAGGGGTTTGTGATGTGGGAGCTCACTGCAGGAGCGCCAGGGTATGGAACAGCAACGAAGCTGACAAGCAACTTCAACCCCGAAACTGGCATATCCTGACATGCCCGAGCCCCAAATTCTGCAAATCGCGAGCAATAGAAGGCTGACATATGGCAGCCCAGTGGCCACATCGTATGTGATGCGGTCCTTGGAGCTGTCGTCTTTCAATGCTTCGCGAGGCTGCGCGCTTTTTGGCAGCGGTGGGCTCTGGGATTCGAATCCTTCACGGGTTCAGAGCCCGTGGCTGGTGACTCTGTCAACGCTTCAAGTGCGTCTCGTTCCCTGAGACCGGCGAACTTCGTTCTCAAGCGGCCTCAAGGAAACGGTTTTAGCAAGTATTTTGCTGTTCTCAAGACATGCCCGAATTCACGTTGCAAGGGTTTGGCTCTAGACTCTAGACACCAGGCCTTTTTGTGTTCGGGGGCAATGTGCCGCAGTCGGAAGAGTCGGGTCAAAACTACACCGGACGGGAGACTCCTCTGTGTGTCTCCCTCTGTCTCTCTGTGTACATATGTGCGTGAACAACTTTCCATGCGTGTTGGATGGATGCATGGCTGGATGGATAGATGCAAGTACCTATGCATGTATGCATCAGGGCAAGCATGCATGCATGCATCGTAGAAGATCTGATCCAAGGTGCTTGGTTCAGCAGGCCGGCTCCCACCAGCAACTCCTCCATGGCAAACCAGTTGGTGTTGTCATAGAAGGCCTTCCTCTTCCGGAACTCTGCCTGCCGAGAATCAGATTCCACTGCCACGTCGGCTACATCTTTCTTTGTTTGGGGCTGTAAAATCTAGGCTTTGCGAGCCCAATCTGGTCAATTGCAACTGATTGTTCCAAATTCTTGAACTAAACTGCCAACACGACCTCTTCAGAGTTTGGTCTTTCCTGTGCACAGACCTAGCATGACAGTTCAAGCCCTGATAAATTGTGCCAGCCACTCACAAGCTCTCGAGCCTAAACCCTCTAAACACCGGACCGAGCCTCCCGAACCTCTGGGAAACTGTCCGCACGGCACGGCTTCCAGTCAGCATCCAGGCCAAAGCAAAAGCACTCCTGATTCGGGTCTGGTCTGAACTGCTACGGCTCGCTCTATCACTCTCTCTCTCTCTCTCTCTCTCTCTCTCTACCGGGCAAGGAGGGGTGGCAGCTGCCAGCCCCCCTGCACGCGTACGTGCACCCGCGAGTCCCGGCGGGGTTTTGTTTACAGTCGCTCTATCTCTATCTCCGCTCTCTCTCTCCTGGGCATGAGGACGGGTCAGCGTCCCCGGGCTGAAAAGCCCACCCAATGTTTTCTTCTTCCTTCGGGTTTGACGGGGGCGTCACTCCCCTCGGCCCTTAGGGCCCCCCATTGTTTGTGGGGCTTTGGAGGCATGTCGGCAACCACGGGACAACTCTACCCAATGTTTTCTATCTCTATCTCTCTCTCTCTCTCTCTCTCTCTGTCTGCTGTGCCATTTCGAGGGTTTTTGCTACGCACGGGCACGAAAAAGCGGGCTGGAATCTATCTAGTTGCAATAGACTATTGGGTTCAAGCATATCATGGGTGGACACTAACGGAATTACATCGAATCACAAGCCCCTCACCTTTGAATGCGCCCATCCAGAACGAAGGGGAGCCGGGGTCTGGTTTGAATGCACTTCTACGGTGTGCCATAAGCTTTAGCCTTGCAGATCTGGAGCGGTGGGCTCGAGGATGTTGTGCCGATACATTATATACAAGGCTTCGATGCACGGTATGTCATGACTCGTCAGGCATGCATCAGGGTCGTTACGCACGGTGAAACCATGGCGTGGACTTTTAAAGTCGACGCTCTTCAGCGTGCCTTGCCGTCCAGGTGTAGTCGCATCATCCAGAAGATGCAGAACAACGCGCCTTGACGGATCCGAAACTTGGTTGGTGGCCTCCTACTAGGTAGGAACGTGGGGTTTGCAAGCTCGGAGACTAGCATGATTCGGCCCCGCCGTTCGGTGTCGCCTGGTCGAGCCGAATTGCAAGCCGCTAGTAGTCAAGCAACTGTACGACAACGCTTCGACTGGGTGTAAGATACATTTCGATGGACCTGCGATGGACAAAAGCCACTTCAACTCTCACTCCACACGAGTACCCCGAGCTGCAAAGGCGATCACTCCGGGCGTCATCAGCAGCCTACCAAAATTAATTCTTCCCACCCGTGTTTGTACGCACTGCGATCTGGGGTTGAAGGAACCGCTGAAGCCTCGATCAAGCTATAAACCCTTCTCCCGGATTCAATCCCTTCGATGCAGCCCGTTGGCCGATGGTCCGCTGATACTCGTCGTCGCTTGTTCGGCTTGCGGATGTGGAGCCCAACTTCCTCGGAGCTCAGAAGGTGCTTACCACCGGCAAAGGCTTGTCTTAAACTTCGACTGGTTTCAGGAACCTGGAAGGCATTATTGTTTAGACCAGACGCAAACCATAGATCTTTAGTACTAAAACGACGACAATCAACAACAACCCCTTCCGCACATGGGTCGAAAAGGCACCGAACAGAAGTGAGCCAAAAGGAATCGACAAAGGGTTCATGCTGAGGGCCTCCAACTTGTCTAGGCTGCTTTGAAGGGCTCTGGCTCCGGAAATTCAGCTTCTACGCTCGGGTTCTCGGTGAAAGCAGGAGCCCGGAAGCATGAGACTCGGGCTTTGGGCCTTCTGTGATATCATGGTAATACAAGGGAAACAATCAACGGAACCATGCTGCCAGTTCTCCGGGCTTCCAGACTGCGGCTGAACTTTCCCAGTGTTTCTTGAGGGTTCTTGTTTAGGTCGCACAAGAAGGCGTTGAAATTCGCTTTGTGTTTTAACAAGTTTTGATCCCGAGGCAGACTCGACGTAACTTCGATACTTCAGCTGCTGTATCGACGGCCGCATGGGCAAAATACGTATACCAGATCCCCGGTTCCATCACAGACCATGCAAGAAGGTCCCTGCTCTAAACTTGGGAGATTGTGCCGCAGGTTGCTGCCACTACGAAACTTGTACTTGAGGAAGCCCGAAACTCTGACGTGTTCCGTCCCAGGGTCACTTTGCCGCTGTCTCTCTCCACGCGGTACAAACGCAGCTCCGGAAATGCTGCACCTATGGGATTCTGATTCTGGGTGCCAAATGGCAGCTGTCAGTTGTGTTGTGTTTTCGGAAACTCTTTCGGAGAAGCACAAACTAACCTGATGCCTGATTACACTTCTCGCATGCTCTGGGTGACTGGGCGTCTCCAAATTGCCTTGTTCATTCACAGTTTCTTAGGCTCGGGCTTACGACGTACGATTTGAGGCTGGGCTCTGGAACAAGTTGCACCAAAACGCGAGGCTGCCGATGAATGCAGCTTCTAGATAGGCGGTTCATGACGCTAAGGCATACAGTAACAAAGGAAGAAAACAGCATGAATCAAAGTAAGCAAAGTGTGTGCAGGAGCCATCGCCCTCAAGAGTCACGAGTACCATAAATTACCATCGTCATCGTCAGTATCCGCACCTATCACCACCACCTCCTGCTGAACCCAAGGCACTGATATCCGCGTAGAAATCCTGCCAGGACTCTAGTCAAAGTCTGGCTCAAGACGTGGACCTAAAGCCTCAAACTCCCTACAGGAAAAGTTAGGCATATCTTCGAAGTACGTACATACAGCAGATACAGTAACATGCACGTAAACCATGTCAGTGGCTGACCGGCCGACCTCCGCATCGCACACACGCAAATTTGTATTTACAAATTTAAATCGCTAAAGCTCACTACACTTCATCCATCACAGATGGACAGTTGCGGGCACGCATCTCATCAGGGTGGCAGATCCCTTTCACGCATGTGGAACTGACTGCTATTAATTAAAGATATGGGACAAACATGGCGAGCAGATGTCTCCAGGCCTACTTCGGCAAGAAGCACACTTCTCCTATGCCTTGCTCTATAAAGGCCTGACCTCTGCGACTCTGTGTGTAACAAAGCAGGGCTAGAGGGTTTACTTGAGAACCAAAGGCAGTATACATAGTGTTCGACACTCGCAGATCACACGCGACATTGACACTCTATACGCAAACGAGCGTGTGGGACCACTGAACATGAACCCCAATGCCCTTGCTAGCAAGGTCATTGTTCCTTTTGCCATAGACTGCCATTTTCACAGGCCCTCGTCCTTGGTGCTGTAGTTGGGATTCCGGATCTCTGCCGCCGCGCGCCGAGCGCGGACCCAGTCCGTGGTGCGTCCCTCGAGGATGCGTTTGATGAGCCTGAGCAGCAGTTGGTCTAGTTGAAACTTTCAAGCGATCAATGACAATAGCAAGACCACGCATGGAAAATAGAGTTCCCGATAATGCTTCACAAAAGGGGTGTTCAGGAACTTCGAGGCCTAAGCTGGTATGCAAAACCGTAGAACATGGAGATCTCATGACTTACACTGGCCCTGCCTCCTTTCCTATGTGTGGGGTCGGTAGGGATAGGGGATTGATTGATCCTCTGACCGAGTCTCAGTTCATCTCCTCGACCGACCGGTAAAGGCTCTGGTGCCAGAACCTGTCCATTTTGGAGGAGAGCAGTCTAGCAGGGGCGGGGAAATTAAGGGCCACATTAGGAAGAGCAAGCAACAACTCGTGTGAACAACGGACAGGAAGCAGCAGCACTTTACAATAACCCAACCATTTTCCGATGGCCCGAAGAAGCTCTATGCAAAATGTTTGCAGGAGACTCCTACCCAATCACTTGATCAGCTGCTTACGGGCTTCCGATTGCAATAAAAGACATCGAAATCCAGCCCGGAAATGGCAAGGCTCTCCAGGCCTTGTTGCTGATGTTCTGCATAACCTGGCGTGGGGTGGCGAGCATCGCCGACCCTTTGAAATCGCGCAGCCCCTCGAGCTACCCGGTATAACTGCGGTTTCAAGAAGGATAAGAACAAGAACAACCCCAAACCGCCCGTCCAGACCGAATGCTATTGCCTGCATCCTCTGGGTCCCATCTAAACTGTCTGGACCCCTTGTGAATGGCCCGCGGTTTGCTGGGTGGGCCTCAACTCCGGCGGATTTGTCGAAGAGGGAAGGCTGCCTTGCGAGAGGGATGTTCAGGCTCTGGGATTCTGTGTATACCAACCACATTGGCACAAGCTGCTGAACCTACTCCAGAAACTTGGCTTTCTGTACGCAGGGTCTTGCAGAGGAGACTCGCTGAGCCTCCCTGAACCTCCCCGTTTCCCTCTCAGGCCCCCGGCTTTCCCAGAAACCTGTGGCCCTGGAGGGCGATCCTGAGTCGAAACTGCTTCGTGGGATCAAGTGGCAGCGACCCATGTGATCGGGCTTTAGATGCCTGAGTCCCAAGGCTTCAAACTCCAAACCTCTACACAACAACCCCTCCATGCCAAACCTCGAGGAGTAAAAATAAAAGCGAAACATTCAACCGAGCCCGCACAACGGTGACAACAACCTCTCCCTCGATTCCAAGATGTCCCGGTGTTTCAGAGCTTGCGAAAGCTTGAAGCTGCTCAGAGAGTGATAGGATTCAGAAGAGCCGGGTCCGCAGCTTTGAGCAGCCGTAAACAAGCAGGGCGGCTGATACTCTACGTCGTGAGCATTCGTCCACCCCCAGCGGATAATCACCTGAGCGGACAGGACAAAAACAAACAACAACTCGTAAACTTCCCGCCAGCAGGTTTGCAACCGTTGTGCCATTATACCAGCCTCCTCATCTTTGAATCACTTGTACTTTGCAGCCGCATTTATTCCGGGGTCCGGGGTCGAGTTGCGGTGTCGATATCCCCCGACTGCCCCACCGGGCGCTGCCGAGCGAAGGTGAAGTCCACACCGCCGGGCAAGCCGATGATCCTTGGATGCTTGCGTTTTTGCTGGCTTCGGTTTCGCACCTTTTTCCAAAGTCAATCCCATGACAAACGGGGTTTGAGAGGCATAGTGGCTCTGCTTGAAGCTGCTCAGCGCTGGGCTCTGAATGCAGAAGTCGCTCCAGCTCCCGGGACTGTCCAAGTGGCTGCCATCTGGGGTCGTGTGCGTTGAGCACTTCACAGAGAATCTCCTGAGTAAAGGCTGGGGTTGTTTCTGACTTTGAAAGAGCCCATCTTGATTCGAACGGCGCCTGATCCCACTGCCATACAGCAACCAGCCGACTCAACACGTGATGTCTGCTCGGATGATCTGCGGCTGCATCACAGTGTATCACTCTGCTAGAAGCCTTTCCGCAAGCACAGTTCAAAAGTGAAAGACAACAAGTGGTTTGAAAGTGAAATTTTTCGTGCTGTGGATAATGAACGGATGGGAGACATCGGAAAAGTCCTCGGAGATCCCATTTGCAACTCCCTAATAACTTTGAAATAACTTCGGCAAGCCTTCAATCACCAAATTGGAATCACTTTTGGAATCACTTTGTTGAGGCCCGAGATCACGCGGAAATCGCATTACTGGGAAATCGCTCGCAAAAAAGACTGGAAAACTGATTTCGGGTGATGTGGGACCCCCAAAACGTGATTTCAAAGTGATCTGGGTCCCGAAAAAGCGATTTCCGGCTTGTACAAGGCGATTTCCAAGATATCTTGGACCACCCCCAAAGTGATTTCAAAGTGATTTTGAGGCTTTGCAACTGTGTTTTCAAGGCGATTTGGGGTTTCACAGCGATTTCAGCAATGATTGGAGTTGCGCACGCTAACTGTCCGAAGGTTTTTCCCCGGCCCAAGGCCTCCCGACAGTCACTATAGTCAATAGAGTCACTGAGGCAAGCCTTAATGAAGCCTTGGAAGGTATGCAAGTCCTAGGAGATCCAATGCCCAACCCCAAATCAATTTGATGTTTTTTTGAATTTGCTTTTTCGGGCCGCACTTCACTTTTCAAATCACTTTTCCGCAATGCAGGGAAATCACGTTGCAATCGCTTTTCGAATCACTTCCAAAACCACTTCTGCAAATAGCCCGGATCACTTTTGAGAATGCCCCACATCACTTTTCAAATCACTTTTACCCAGTGCATGAACAATCCCATTCACTTTTGCAAGTTGCTTTTCAATCACTTTCTGTTCACTTAAATAATTCTTCCAACCCATCCCAACGGTTGCCTGACCACGACGTCCCAAGGCAAAGAGCACCGTGATATATAAGTGTAGATAGGACATTACGCAGCTCATAAGCCCCACGGCTGCTCTTGCTTGATGCATGCAATCCAAGGTTTCCCAAACTTCCTGACTCCGGTTGTTTATATCTGGCTCCGAGGTTCCGTGATGACGTAGACCGTCTTGAGGCCGGGGAAGGACTGTGAGAGCTCAACCTGCGAGGTCATGTGGATGCTTCAACTGTCAAGGGCGAAGATCAGCTGAATATCGACACTCAAACCCAGACCGTTTGCGCAAAGCAGCAGCTACTGGCCGGTGCCGCTTCTAGAGCAAAGGCTTCTAAAAGAGTTCCTGAAGCCGGAATGACGAGGAAATCGAGGAACGAAAGCCTGCCGTAATCCTTCTTCGAAGACTTACTCTGCAACAGACATGCTGCATGCTGGAATTCCTAGCCTCAAGTAGTAGCTGTATGTGAAGCCAACACCTGGGACCTCAAACCCCCTGTCTCCGCCGGAATCTCCCTCAACACAAACACTTGTGTCGTACTCCAGCCTCCGACTCGTGAAAAGACCCTGAATTCTTGTAATTTTGGTGTAAGACCTCGAAAAGTAATGAACTGTCAGCTTGCTTCCCGAACTTGCCTATCGTCGCCTATCGTAGTCTCTGTGAAACCACAGCACTCAAAACCGCTTCAGCTTTGAGAGGATCCCCGCAGGGCCTCCTGAAACTGGTCTGCCAGTGTCACTGACATACCTTCCCGCATCCATTCCTGACAAAGAATGTCTTGGACGATTGGGTTGTAGAAGCTTGCGATAAAGCGCGAGCGTTTCGTGAGACTATCAAGCGCTTTCAGCATGAACCTGATGCACTCCAAAGTCGCCTTCTTGGTTCGGTCAAACAAATCAAGACAGTGTGACGAGGAACTTGGCATGTGCTGTCGAACAGACACACACCCTTTGTCGACCGGGTCGATGCTGATCATGCATTCACCGATGCACTTGCTTGGAACATTCGACGGACACGAAAAGGATGTCTACCACAGTTTCAGCAAGCTCCGGCGCAAAAGGTGCATGGAGGTTTCTCCAGTAGAATTCTCGGCGAGAGTCGAAGCTGCGATGCCAACTCTGTTGAAGCTCCGGGCTCACGCTTCGTGCCATCTATCAACCCCGTTGCTACACCGAGCTCGGCCCCTTAATCGAAAACGAAATCGCATCAACTTTCAAAAGGGCTCGCAGCACCAAGACTCGGCACCTACTATTCGCCCCTTGACAACACTGCAAAGGCGATGCCTCTTCGATGCCAAGCTTGCTGAACAGCACCTGTCCAAAGCAAAACAAGTCAGGGGCTTTCGGTTTCTCTAACGACACCGCCGGGCTTTGCCCAGCGTGAGATTATGGAGGTGAAAATCGCTCATGAACACACATCTGCGCTAGACTTTGCAAAGGTTCTCGCACACGACAGTCTCTTTTGCGTTTAGATGAATTCCAACAAAGCCCTCGCAAGTCGAAACGCTCATGGAAATACTTTGAAAGTTCAGATTCGGAACCAAAGTCAGGCCATTCTGGCTTCCAGACAGACTTCCAGTCAGCATTGAACCCGAAACACGGAAGAGCTTCAACCGGCTCTGCCTCCCGGGCAGCATCGTCCCAGGTCTGAGAAGCCCGCATTCGCATTGAGAGGGCCCGAACTCCTTGCAGACCACATGGGCATCTCATGGGCTTTACTTTTTGACTCTATGCCTCTGCTGCTTTAAGTACAATTTACGTTTGTCTTTCAGTTACATAGGGCTCGATATTGCAGGCTTGCACAATGATTTTTGAGGGGAGGTGTTGTTCTTCGCCACACCTGACATGCCACCTGTGAATGAACGAAGCCGAGTGGAACAGAGCCACGCAAAAACTGCGAAGGTACAGTTTCTGCACATCCTGGAACTTCCACTGTTCGGCGACGCTGTTGCTTCGTCTTCATCACCAAGACATGCCTCAGCATCAACTTACAGGATCAAGTGAAAAAAGGATGCCCAGAACAGGCCCTACAGTTTTACAAACAAGCTTCTTACATCTTTGCGGGCAAGTGCGAACTTGCATAGCTTGCCAAGCTGCCTGCAGCTCAAGATGTCAGCCGACAGCCACACCTTCACGATTCGGACGGTCCTGGTGGCGAGTTGAAAAAAGGCCGAGCAAACGTTTGAACCTTGCAGCTCCAAGCTCTCAATCAAGCCTAGCAGCCGCGTTGAGTACGTTCGTTATTCTCAAACCAGAAGTTTACAAGCAGCCTCAAGCGCTAAAGTTCCGCTAAAGCCTTCTGGACGGAGCTTCGTTCGCGACTCTGAACGGCATGCCCCAGGTCATTAACCTTGCGCCCTCAAGTTCTTGTAACCTTGTAAATGAATGTAGCTACTAAGCCTAGACACTGAGCACCCTAAACTGCCCCAAACCCTAAAACAATGAAGGGGGCTGAGTCCTCAAAAGCTCGTTGTTCGCTTCCTGCAGCTCGGAGAGTCGATTTGTGTAGACCTGACAAATTCAGGAAGGCCTGCCTGAAGCCTCTAGTTTAGGATTTGGACTCTCGCGACTCGAAGGAGTTTAGGGAGCCCACAGCCCTGTTTGGGCATGGGAGACCTAGGAGTTGAGCGGTATCCTGCTTCGAGAGCTTACCGGTTTCAGCTCGAGTTCGGCGGGGAGAACTGTGCACCCCAAGATGCAGATTGCTGTGGCAGGTCCAGTGCAAAAATAATGGATAGTTCTACTGTGTCGAGACTAAGGAAACTGATCTGCCCTGGAGCCCGACCAGAAACAATATGCGCTGCACCACCATCGTCCCTAGCCCTGGCCGTTGAAGGTGCAAAAGGCTCGAGTTTCAGTGCTTTTGCCAAAGGCCCGAGACATCTCGTGCCTGGAAATCTGCACGGACATGTTGGTGGCACGCATGGACAAGGCTTGAGGGCGCGCATGGGATTCTGCTCACAATCCCACCCGCAGTCCAACCTCGTCGTAAAGTTCGGCGAAGCTCTGCCACGAAAACCTCTGCTGCAACTCTGACTGTGACACCCATCTCAGTCATTGGATCCGAAATTCTAAGATTGAAGCCGAAAAGCTCAAGCAACATTCGTCACAACCTGGCATACCCCAACCTACACGATCAACTTCCGAAGCAAGTCACTCCTAGCCAGCAGCCTCAGACCCAGACCTCAAACCTGCACCTGTAATTCGGCCCCGGGGGCTCTGCGACGTCAATGGCGTACTTCTGAAGCAAATTCATCAACTCATCTTCCTGCGCAGTAGGTGACCGTTCTTGAGGCCCAAGGCGGATCTATGTGATAAAAACCTTGAACAGAACAATGGGGTCATCATGCATTCCTGAAACAAGCTTGGCGATGCAGGTTTCGGCTTTTCAGAGGGCTGGTGTCAATGTTTACAAGTTCACATCCGCTTCTACTCACAGTGACACACTTGCTGATTAGTAGTCGCAATCGACAGCTCCTGACATCCTGTAAGTTCTGCGCTCCATTAAGCCTACGAACCGCCCCCGCCAGGCTGCCGAAACTTGATAACACAAACAATATGTAAGGTCCTCAAATCGCAAGTACGACCCCTGCGGATAGTCCTTGTTGTCGTTAGCAACAGGGACCCAGGCCCAGTTTCGCCTGAGTTGTCGGGCATTTCATTTGAGGAATAAGGCCTGATGATGTCTTTGGCCCTGGCCGTTTGCGGGGGGTTTGTTGCGTTTCCATTCATTGTGCCACCATCCACACAACTGTACCGCGACCTCATGCTTCCGTTGGTAATCCTATGAAGGCTTCATACACCTTCATACATTGAAGGTCACTACATGGGCTTGAGTTCCAATGCCTCCGGGCTGAGGGTTGAGGCAGACTGAAGTCTCCGGACATCTGCTGCCCAGGCACCTACCGTTCTCTGTGCTGAAATCCGCGCCACTTGGCAAACCGATTTTTTTCAGCTCCTCGCGCGTCCGATCCTGTCGGGGCTGAAGAAATTCATAACTGCAGTTTAGGACTCCGAAGCGGGAGCACTGTCGATCTTCCGGAGACGTCGTCTCCCTGTATCTGGTCTAGTTTTATTCGCTTCCTATTGATCGTCCCCCATGCAGAAGACGTCCAGCTTCATTCGCAGTGTTCATGCAGAGTCGTGTTCAGCTACGTGTAATTCGAGCTTGAGTATGTCTGTATGTCCGTCAAGGCGTGGCCACCACCCCATGCCGGCCCTAACCCGATGACAGTCCTTGACGCTGACAACGATGCTGTGAGCCTGCAAGTGAAGAGGCAGCTGCGGCATGCTGCTCAACTTGCATCTCTGTCTTGATATAATTTGCAACGGCACCTGCGAGCTCATGCTTGCGTAAACGGAACATGTCCTCATACGGGACTAGGCACGTGCACTTTTGTGTCACACCCCGAGCCGCCCTAACGGAATCTTTGGCGCGCCTTATACTTGCTGAAAATCCCGGGAACCGTGTCAGACTCCGCGGTGTTCCTGGGCCCAGTAAGGGGCACACAGGCTCACGACTCGGTTGATCCCATATTGAGTTCAAGAGGTGGGCATTGCTTCCATTTCGGTGAGCATGAATCCACAAACGAAGAAAACATAAATACCAAAACCCTTGCTTCCCGATCAGACCTTGCTTCCCAATCAGAAGCCCCGAGCCCACTTTAAACTCGAAGTCACTAACTTCTGTACCATCCCATCATATTGACATGGTTGAGGCGTTAATTAAGCCTTTCAGGATTCCTTCTTGTACCTTGCATCGATGCCCGGGAGGCTCAGATCCAGAGTGTCGCAAAAAAGAAAACATATATAAAGAGGACCCAGGCTCTCTTCCACGGAGTAGTTGTCCGTGGAAACGGTGAAACAACTTCTTTGAACCTGGCATCGTGTAGCGCTCAGAGCTGCGCAGTCTTACGCACTCAGTGCTAGATCGTGCAGGTTCAACAACAGAACCCCGACGGGGTTCTGCTCGGTTGTCATCAGCACGTAATCATGGAATTAAACCCCACTCCCCCGACACCCCCCTCCCCCCTCGCATCCACGAGACCAAAGGCCTTAGCAAGCACCTACTAAAACTCTGATTCTTGGATTTCTTGGCAAAGCCTGCCTAAAAACTTCATCCTCGCCGGCAGATAAACTCTTACTAAGTGATAGCTGAGTCAGGGCTTGCTAAGTGCTTGCCAAGCCTTGGGTTTCCGGACAATGTCCTGGTAAGGGGGGGGGGGGGTCGGGTTGCCATGACATAACCCCCAACGCTCGAAAATCCTGTTCCGTCCGCTGCATCTCCGTCTTGCATCTGTTGTGAAGTGCATGTGTAAGTGTGGCTTACATTACATCAACTTTTCAGATCTGGTTGAGAAAGAGAGCCACTGCGCACTTTCAATCCATCGATGCATCGAGAGATGGGGCACGTCTGACACTGCCACACCGCTAAAACACAGCACGGCATGCATGCTATGCTACCGCACGTACTTCATCACGATTCAGACATGGATGCATGGATGCTCTTGCAATCTCTTGCATCCAAGCACAGACTGTGAATCAAATGAGTGTTTATCACCACAATGCCTGCATCCCGCAGACGAAATAGGAGGATCTCAACCGGGCCGCAGCAGTGTAATCATTCAACCCGACAAGCGGAAGCCTTCCGGAGGCCCCTACACTTTCTGTCCACGAAAACCCTCGACCACAGCGATGTGGCGTCAGGGCGGCATGGAAGCCCAGACCCAAGTCATGGCAGACCCGAAACTTGGAAAGTGCATGTATCTGGGCTTTCGCAGATGTCAATTTCCTGGTGCGCAAAGAAATTACATCTCGGCGTGTCCCTTCAAATTCCGTCTGAAAAAATCGTTTTTGTCGTACGTTTGCGTGTTTCACGCATGAAAGCACCGCTCCTCTGGGCTATACTGACAAACAGGAAAAAGGGGGCCCCAAAAGAGAAACTTCAGGGAATGCCATGTACCGAATCCGCAATGTTGCAGGCCGACCTCACTGCTGAGGCTCAGCTTCGATTCGAAGCACTCTTCTATGGCTTCCTGCGGCCAAGGAGTTTGGTGCTGGTATACAATTGACTCCGGGCTGGTGCGGTTTCGAGCTTCGGGGCTGACAGGTTCAGGCGCTGGGCTGGCTTATGTCTTTCACGGCTTTCGCACACCCAGTCCCGCCAACGACCTTGCTCGCCAATGCGTAAGACCTGGTTCTCACGAACATGCAAGAAAATCCCGCAAGCATGTCAACTTGACTAGCACGGGTTGGAACAACCATCTTGGCCAGTCTCAGGCCGCGACCATTGCTAGCGGCTGGTTTCTTTCCTCGGTGGGAGTCAAGAAGCCCCCCCCCCCCCCCCCAAGGCCACCCCTAGCTTGGCCCCTCATTACTCGCCACTTGTAGGAGCTCCGGTTCTGCTAGCGTCCCCAGGGGCCTTGTTTCTTCTGTTCCAATACCTTGCGGCGCCTTCCCCCGGCTCCTCCCTCCGCGGCCCCCAAAGCACCGCAGCTTCATAAGCGACTGACTGAGTAGTTCTTCTCAGATAGTGTCGGTCTGCAGTGACAAAATGCAAAAACCTAGCAGGAACAGGCGTAGCACGAAACAAAGCTTACAAACTGAAAGCCGCATGATGCAGCCGGGGATAACCAGTGCGTCCAAGCTTCTCTACAGGAACCTGAGCCAACGGGGTCATCACATCATCTCCAAGCTGCACCCTATCTAGGACTCTGGTTGCAGGTGACAGTCAGGAGTGAAGTCTTGCCCAAGACCTATCGGATTTGGGGGGCAGAAAACTGCAGACAGGAGTGAAGTCTTGCCCAAGGCCTCTCGGATTTGGGGGGGCGGAAAACTTCAGGGATGATACAACTAATTCATCGACGCTAGTCAATCGAATCCAGACTCTAGACCACATTCCTCAGCCCCGTCGGAATCTCGGTGGTTCCTCTTGGAGGCAACTAGCAGTGACGTAGTAAGCGGCTTGGAGCTACCGGCAATAAGTCAGGCCCCTTGTTTCCAGAAGCTCTCAAGCCTAAGCTCGTTGCAAGTAGCCCGACGCATTCCGCTGGCTCTTGATTCGCAATTCGCGAATGCGGCCATTCGTGTCCCGAAAGCGAAGTGATATGCCTCATTCCAAAACACAAAGTGGGAGAATCATGCATGGAATCAAGGGTTTTAAGACTTGCATGTCATCGCAGGAAATCGAGATACCGAGCGACCTTTCCAGACTTATGTATTTCAGGGCGGTCTTGCCTAGTGCTTAGTGCTCGAGGAACAGACTTGCTGAACACGCATCTTTGCCAAGCATTCTCTTGAACTAACAGTGTACAGCCACATCGGTCTTTGATTTGGGAGTCTTAACCCCTACGCTCCAAGCTCGACATCAAGTCATAGCCCGGCACGCATGAATGCGAAACTCTATTGCGCACATGCTGCATCCAAGTGAACAACCTTGATTCAAGTCTTGATGTCTGCTGGAAGAAACAGAGCACAGAATGTCTTGTCCTACATCGCACCTCGCACCCTTACACTGGATGTCTCTCGGCTCGGCAGCTTCGAAGGTGCTATGCCAGATCCTTGAACTGAATCAAAAATACCAATCTGGAAAAAAACGCCCAGCCCTTTCAGAAAAGCGGCGGACGAGCTCCACAAATCGAAGCAGCCGCCCATCCTGCAAGTGACAAACAAATTCAAAAAACAAGGCTTTTGAGCAATGCTTGCGCTGCTGCTGCATCGCCATCTGGACGAACGCTCACTACCAGGGCAAGGAAGCCTGACACAGGATCTCCGGCAAGCAATTCAAAAAACACATCTTTACCATCACGGCCAGCGCGACAGAAGATCGTGATCATGGCTTATCTTGCCTTCACATTTGTCCCAAAAATCTGTGTTTGTGTGTTTTGTTTAACTGTTGCTTTCCGTTCTCACTCAATTCCTTCTGGGTATGTACCAGCAAACGGTAGCATCCACCACCGCAACAACCACGAGCAGCAATATGGATAAGAAGAACAAGGAACCAACAAACACAGGAGCCCCATCCAAACAAAAGCGACACCTTCAAAGGCCCCGTAGACCATGCTGCTAACATCATTGGTGTTGATGTCGTTGATGTCGCTGTTGCTGTCGCCGGTTGTCATCGCTGTTATCTTCGCCATTCGTGTCTGCTGTTGCAGTTGTTGTTGCTCCTGCTCTCCAGTTTGTGCATAAGGTTCTGGAGGCTCGGATTTACGGAATCACCGGCAGAGGCCACACTAGCCGTCACTAGCCGCTAGCCGTCGCTCCTCCACTTGAAGGTAGCACTTTTCGTCTCGGACGACAGAGTCGTAGAACTGCTGCAACCTTGAGGAACCGATGGATATGGAAGGTTGTTTGCATGTGGTGTTCGCATGAGTCATGGCGGTTGGGGGTCGTGTTCTAGCATCTGCTGCGGCCACTGGGCCATGCTATGCGAAGCGATCGCCGCATGTAAAGAAGAACCATACCTGAATGCTCCAGCCCTTGGCTCAAACCGGAGGCCGTTTCAGCTATCTCTAAAGCCTGAGGCACAGTTTACTTTGTGCGTCGGGATCTCGCGTGCGGGCATACAGCTGGAGATCTAGGGAGGACTTTGCACAGAGGTGAAATTGCAGAATCTACTGTATCCTTATAATAGCAGAGGTAAGTGGGCACAGCGGTCCGGAAGCTCTATCACTTCAAGAACACGAACGACCGATCCAAGGGAAAGCACTGCTCGCTAAACCCACGACCTGTAAGTAAAAAGGAGCCACCCCAGCCTGAACCACAGCAGCAGCTCCCTCAACAGTTCTAGAAACCACACTACAGCGGGGCCAAGCTTGTTCAAGGGGCGTCTTCGCATTGCCCTTGCCAAATTTGCTAAGATCTACCCGGTGGGTCTGCAAAAGGTCCTGGATGCGGTCTGATTTGTCGAGGGCTTTGGAGGTCATGCGCATGTTGGCTACTCGACTCGAGGCCGACCACGGTTCAAGCTGAAGGTCTGCAGCTTCCGGCGCTCAGTCACGGCCTTTCATGGCGTCCTGCTGTTGGGGCCTCTGCTAATATCGAGCGGGTGGAGACCTGTGCCGCCCCATGTTGAGGCTCAAGACGGCCAACACCAAGTAAAAGCACAAGCCCCAGACCGTATAATGCGAGTTTTCGATTCAGCAGGTTGCTTCAATGGGGATGTGCCGGTGGCAAAACCTGGATGTCAAACGAAAGCTTCGGGTGCGGACAAGTCACAACTCGTTCACCCCAACATCCAATCCAGGAACAGCGAAGCCCGACCGAAGCCCGGCAGAACCCCCACCCACACTGCCGGTCCTGAAATCTTTCAAAAGGCATGTTCTTCAACCGGAGATTCTCTTCAGTCGCTTGCCGTGGCATGATGCCTCAGTGAGCAAAGTTCAGATATGCAGACCAGAGTGAAGCAGCAAACCAAGAGGTTCGAACTTGGAACCATCTACACGCACTCTTCATCTCAACATGTATGCGTATGTCGTTACGTGGACGGGTTTTTCGAAGATGGCCATAAAAAGGACGATGGTGATGGTGGTGACAATGCTAATGATGAAGATGTTGATGTAGATGGTAATTAGTCTAGTGGCTGCGATGGTGCTGATAATCCTTAAGTATTTTGGGGCTGCAGGGTAGTGAGGCGTGGGGGTCGGGATTTCTTGGTACTTTGCGAAGCACACAGCCGCCAGTCGCAGGGTGAAAGATGGGTGATCCGTGCTAGCAAGCACAAATGTACATAGCTAACAAGCAGCTACATCTGGCTATTCCCCATCGGGTCTGCAAGAGGCATTCGCCGCAAATCGGGGAGGGGCATGTATCGCCTGATCGCCTACAATGCTTCAAGGCATGCCCAGGGCTTGAGGCCAAGTTGGCCCGGAGATATCGGGGCATGTGTTCGGCGGAACGGAAGTTGAGCATCCAAATACATCAGGAGACAACGGAAAAACTTTTAACTTTCTACTGAAATTCTGTATCCTGACCTATGTATGCTGCCCAGGCCACTCATCAGAGGATCGGACTTCAGATGCTCTACCTGGAGCTCAGCATCCCACACTTCTCCTAAGCTCAGCATGAAGCTTCGGTTTGCCCGGATTTTGGGAGTTGAGGCTGCTTTGGCCTCCAGGTCGTCACCTGCGGTTTGAAAACCAGACGAATGCCAAGAACGGGAACACACCGTAGATGGGTGCTCACCAACCATTCGTCGCGCGAGCAGAATTGCGTGGATTAGGTATGTAGTGTGTCCACCCAACCACGACACCTGCCCTCATCCGAGTCTCGAAAAGGATCGAGGTAGTAGGACCCCTGGCCAGTACCTGGGCAGGTGCAAAATGAGTTGTGTGCAGCAATTAAGCAGCATCTCACCAACCTTGTTCCTCCCACTTTCCCCCTGCCGCGCATGGACCCGACATAGTGCCGTCCGTGTTCCATCCTGCTTTGATACACACCTGATTGATATCATGTGCTCCAACAAACAAGGTTCATCGTACATGCACTGGAGAAGTGTTGCAAAGATAAAACAACATCGTGAAGCCCCTTGTCTCCCTTAGCTATGCATTAAGGACCTACGAAGTACACCGACCTGACAGCCACAATCCAAATCCGAAACCCGCATCTTGCTGGCAGGTAGCTCACTATCATCGGCAGGAACCGAAGTGCGGAGAGCCTGCAACGTGTGGGCAACGTGCGGGGCCGAGGGTCGAGCACGATGCTCTAATGATCCATGCATGGGTCCGCAGCCCAAGCTGGAATCGCTGGCACAAGCGTTAGTTGGAGTTCCTTGAAAACTTTTGCTATTGTGGTGTAGCCATTCGCATCAGTGACGAAGGCCAGACACGACGAAGTTTCTCCATCCAATGCCAGGATGCTGCTCCCACACTTCGGCTGTGAGGTGCACGAAGCCCTGACGCCTGGCTCCAAGAAGGCTGAAACCAAGCACTCGTTGCTTAGGGCCCTGTTGAAGGGATGCTTACAAAGGGCCTTTGAGGGCCTGTTCCGGTAGAGGTTGTGGATATGACGCCACAGTGTGCTTCGTCCCTAGGCTCCTGCAGCCAGATGCTTCAAGGCTCGGGAGGACCCGACCCAAAGGCCACAACACGGCCTCCCACCCTTTCGCATCCTGGCAAAAACCCCTCAAGCACCGAAAGACCTCCCCTTAGCCGGTAATCTTGGGTACAGCCATCGAAAGCACAAGCCCCATCCCACCTTGAGTTGCTGACCATTTTCCTTGCCCCCGCAACTGCAGGACCATAGCAGGAAGATCTTTGCCTCGAGAACTCCCATCGTCCATGGTTGGTACATGGCACTACGCGGCTTTACGGAGATCACAAGACCCTGCGGGTATTTAGCAGTCGGATTAACAAGTCAGGGTTTGAGCATGTCCCCGTAGCTGGTTTCTCGAGCTGCACGTCCGAGCCTGTCCGACGGAAGCTTCAAGAAGGAAACTTTGCCAAAGTCGAGACCTGCGCAGAGTTGGATACATGCGTCTCATCTTGCAAGGTTGTTTGTTGGTGTCTGTCTGTGTTAGTCTTCTTCATCTGCCGCTGCTTCGTCGATCATGTGCAGGCAGCTCAGGAAGGCCCAGCTGCTTGTCCAAAAAGTCTTCAACAGTGGCAGCGGGGGGCCCCATTGAATGTGCGGGCCAGCTGTTTCGTTTGGAGAAGGAAAAACTTGGATGCGCGCAGGGCCCCGGAAGGTCCCAAAGAAACTAGGCAGGCCACTTCCACTCCTAACCTCAGGAGTTCTTGGCATTTCACTATTGGGTGCGAAGGGGTCGTTGGCAATAGAGGTTAGGCCTTCATGGCCTCGTCCACAAACAATGCGAAGCAAGCACCCTGGAACGGAAATCTGCCTGTGTAGACAAAGCATGACAAAACCAAGGTTCGGGGTGCCAGAAAATGGCCTGTGAAGCCGGAGCGGTGTTGGTTAAGACTTCCCCTGCAGATAACCGCCAGCGAGCCCGAAGCATCTTAAAATGAAGCTGCGTAGACACCATAGAGACGGAAACTCGGCCCCTTGAAGCCTTACAGACTCTGATGCTGGAAGCTCCCATCCGAAAGCCGTCGACCAATACACCTCCCTCTCTACCCCTGACCCTCAAACTCAAAAAGGCGCACGAATCCACCAGAAAGGTCGTGCCCCATGGCCTACGGTCAGGTCCACCCGTGGAGACTGCGACAGACCCCACCTGCAGCAGTTGGCACTGTATGGTAGATTAAAACTTCAACAACTTGCTTCGTTGTGCCGGCTACCATGGCCAATGAGCGGCATAAAGCAACCTTCGACAAAGAGCCACACCTGTTTGGTAGGCGAAAGTGTGATATAAAAGCATTGTATTAAACAGTCTGCAAGGAGCAAGAGGTTTTTCAAGCCCGAGCCGAGCCTGCACAGGAGCTGCGCCATCCGCACTAGGGAGTCGGCCCCGGTGGACGAGTGCTGGACGACGAGCCTTCGATGATACTAGCACGGCCTGGATGCCTTTCCAAGCTTTGCTAAGTACATCTTGCATTTACAATCTTCTGCTGTCCGCAAGCTGTTCTGCTAGGCCATGCTGCATAGCACTGAGGGCTCCTCGAGTTGTTTTGGTAGGGACTCCCTCTCTCGCCAGCATCTTCGGAATGCACATGGAGGTCCCCTCTCTGTCTGCCTGCCTGCCTGTCGGCCGGCCTGTCTGGCTTGGTGGGCTGGCTTTTTTCAGTTTTATACGCAAATGTTCGCGCGATTCCGAGTGTGTGCGCGGTGTGTGTGTGTGTGTGTGTGTGTGGGTGTGGGGGTGTGGGGGTGTGGGTGTGGGTGTGGGTGTGTGTGTGTGTGTGTCTGTGTGTGTGTGTGTGCGTGCGCCTGTAAGTAGGGCTTTGTCGGTGTGCAATTGCAACCCTGAGGACTCGTATCTTGCGGCTTCTGGGCGGACAGTTTAATGGCCCCAGACAGCTGTATAGCTGGTGTATACATACATGTATGTATACATACATATACATATAAATCTATACATCTCATATTGTAGTTTATTCTGGTATAATGATACCATGATGCTAGTAAGGTTCGATGGCTTTTGGTCGAGAAACCCACAGGTGGCATCTTCTGCGACTGACTCCGCACCAAAGAAATTCCTGGGCAAGGCAAGCGTTTGTGGAGTGGTGGCTCCAACAAGCTTCGGGATCGAGGGAATGTAGAAGCATGCGGGGTTGCAAGTTGGACGTATGCCAGCTAGGGAGGGGGTTGAATGCCCTCACAATCCACTCCCTGCTGAAGCATGTAAAATCGACACCTTCTGAGATTGGTTGGAGCGCCAAAAGTTCACTAAGCCAGAACCCTAGCAAAACCCAAGCTTTCGCTCGTTCAAACTCCAAACGTCCGTGGTCGTCGTCATCGTCATCATCTACACCGTTCCGGTGCAAAGCCTCTGAGCAACCTTCCAAAATCTGCAAGAGATGCGGGAGAGACTTGTCAGAAGCTAGCAAGACTCCCGTGAGACTTCTGCGAAAGACATGTCAAAAGAAGGTACCAAATGCTTGGACTTAGACACCTGTGTAGAACCTGCAAGAAACGGCAGCGACGCCTGCCTGAGGAAGCCTTCGAGAAAGCTCCGAAAACCTGTGACATCCTTGTGGAATTCTCCTGACTCGACAAGCACGGAATTGCCGTCTCACCCCTATCTACGACCCCCTTTCTAAAGTGAGCGCTTGCACGGCAGCGGAAGGAAAAGCACTACCTTGATACTCAGATGCCAAGTGTCAAATGCTTTAGAACCTCTTTGTGGAGTGCTTCCAGCTGACCTGCATCAAACGGGACCAGTGGATGACCGTCTGCTGCAAGGCAACCGACCGAAGTTACTATGAATTGCACAGAGATCGAACATGTGTTGTGCTCGACCCTGAACCTCTCCGATGGGGTGTACTGGGCGGCGCGTTTCTAACAAAAAATAACACAGCAACGAGGGGTGACCAGTAAGCCAGTAAGCCGCAAGTAAACGTTTGCCGGGTGATTGTATCCCCGCCCACGTCAAAACGGCTCACTACCCCAAGCCCTATACACTATGCCCACGAAAGGAAAATGCTGCGTCAACGCTATAACGCTATATACAGATTCAACATGCTTCAGCCGTCCTTTATCATGTTATCAGCAAGACTTTTTCAACGTAGCCGTCTTTCAAACTCATGCTCACCCCAAAGCTCGCAGACCTCAACACCCTCACCTGCGGGAGATTCGAACTTGGGCCTCGGGTTCCGGCAGTCTGGCGGAGATCAGGAAGTGCTTCATACAGTCAGACAGAGAAATGAGTACTAAGTTAGTACTAAGTACTAAGACAACTACTTCGCGATAAGTATTGGCTTCACAGTCTTATTCAAAGTCACCTTTCGAGGAAACAACGCGTATATCAAAACACACACCCTGCCTCTAGAGCGCGACAGGCAGGCCACTGCTAACCACACGGTGTGCTTTCTTATGTGAAGTAGCGATCTGGCTGTATCAAGATAAGCTCACTTAATTGACTCCAGTGTAAACCAGTCTTGCTCTTCCGACTTTCGAGTCCAGAGCTTGGAACCAGAGATTTATGATCCAGATCTCAGGGGTTCTCACATTTCCCCGAGGATTTTGCAGGTGCCTGCGCTGATCTCCTCATGAGTGCCGGGTTCCAAGCCCCTCGGCCAACGGGAGACCATGGACATGGGTCTCTGAGGATATAGTGCATAAGGCCTGTCATAATGGCTAAACGTATACGAACCGGCACGGAAGGAGACAGGGATTCCATGGTGCCAGTAAAGAGTGTGGAGTGCGATGCATCGGGGATTCCGTGATTTCGTCAAGGCTTGCAGGCGGCTTGCAGGGTTGTTGCGAAGAAAGATCCTCAGACATGGAACGATTACAAAAGGCGGCTGCTTTTGCCATGACACTATGACATGTCGACAAACCTTCGCTCTGGCTGTGCTTGTCACGGACAGCTTCCAAGTCTATCCCCTAACGGACCGTTAGGTACTCTGCTGCATGCAAAGACTGCCTGAAGAAGGACGTTCATCGAAAGAAGCCATGCGCAGTGGCGGAACACAGAAGAAGCTCCACTCTAGATTTGGTCATATTCCCGGCTCATGGCCCTAAGATTTCTGCTAAGCCCCATTCAATCCACTTTCTCATGCTAAATCAGGCCATGCAGCCAGGCCAAAACACAGGAGGCGTTCAACTGCTGGTTGTCAAGGTTCTCCGACGGCCTAGACATTCTGTTTGGCACGCGCTCAGCGATTTTTTTCAGACAGTCGGAGGTATGCGGCTTCGAGAGTTTGGGAAGTGCAGGCTGAACTCGGTCACCTGCGAGTCTCTGTAGCTGTGAGATTAGACAAGCCCTGTCTCAGATACAAGCTGGACTTATGCAAAGTCTGAAAAGGCACTTTAGCCTAATGCCGGCGTTCCATGTGATTCTACGCCTGCAGACCATCATGTTTGCGTTGGGTCTTCGGCTCACCTCGAAATCACTATACATTACACTACCGCGTCGAACTCCGAAGCAACACTATGAATACGATTTCTGCTTGTGGCCGCCACATTTTTTCTTGGTGCATAAGTATCATGATGTGCCCAGCGGGCAAGTTCATGTCCGGACCCTTGCAAGAACCTGGCTCGGTGTATGAGACTGGTGCGCTAGTCTCCAATTTTCCATGCCCTTGATGGACCGCACACTATGCAGGATGGAACCACTGGAAGGCAGCAAGGTGCCACAAACATGTTCATGCAGGTAGGTCTGCACGGCCCGGCCTGTGAACTCGACACTGCATTGTCACAAACAGGGTACCGTGGAAAAAACTGCATCCCTCATCCTCCTACCAAGAACACCTTTCCAGCCGGCATTACCTAATCTTGAATCTTGACTGAAAACATTGTGGAAGACAAGGCGGGGCGGCTTGGAACACGGCGCCACGGAATAGCCACCCTGCGCAGCACGCAGCTGGTGAGAACGCGGGGGGTGCTTGGTCCATGGCTTAACATTGAGCCGGCCGCTACGTGCCACTCTTCGCAAGAATTCGAAATCTTTGGTGCTGGGAGTGCCTTTGCCGAACATCGCGGGTTGGCGGAATTCACCATACAGGCAAGCAACGTCGGCAAACTTGTCCATACATCGACCAATAGAGAATCAAGAGGCATTACTTGAGTTCTAGCTGATGCAGGCTCACTTAGGTAGTGTAGCTGAAAGACTCAGACTGATGGGCATGGATCAAAGGAATGCAAAAGCTCATAAGGAGATGACGGCAGGAACTCGCAGCAACGCCCGGAGTTCA